GAGAAAGAGCGAGACTCGTTCGGTATGTCTGGCACGACTCCTGGCAAGTCGAGAAAAAAAAAGAAGAAAAGAATGTCTGGAAGTTCCGATCGGAAGCGAAGAAGGGTTATTAATTCTGTAAAGATAGCTTCTTTTCACCGCAGCTCGAGAGTGTGGATTTTTTTTCTTTTCGTTGTTGTCGCAAAAAATGTTTGCTACGAAAATATCTAATGCGTGGAACCGGCTGATGGCATATTTTTACAAAACATGTCTATCTCAACCCTGGCGTAACTGTTATTTTTTACGATGAAAAAAGCTCATGTATTCTCGAAGCGCGCGTAAATGAAAAAAAAAATCGGGGGAGGAGGGCAGAAAAAAAATCGAGAACGCAGAAACTTAAACTGATATTCGGTTCGGGCGCGAACGATGCGGTGCGTAACGTCGAAATATCCTCCCGAGAGAGGCGCGCGCGCGAAAGCCAAAGTCATTGTTCGGTCCATCGCTACGTCACTCGGGAGCAATTCGGTAGATAGTTTTAATTCAAAACTTCTCTCGGCACCGACCTAAATTTCCGAGCTCCGCTACTGCTTTGTATGATGATTTTTAACGTTCGTTCGTTTTTTTTGCCCCCCCAACTCGACTGTAAAAGGAAAAATAAAAGATTTGAACGCGCGCGACAGCACGTCCGCGATTGATTTCAGCCTAGACACGCACACTCTACACATCCACACACATGCGAGGAGAATTCGATTTTAGAAGCAGCCGCGCAACGCAGTACTCTTTTTTTTCTTTTTTTTTATTTCAATATATATACTCCTGCGTGCGTATTTGGAGCGCGGGTGAATCGTATTGACATTCACAATGCACTTTTTTCCAAAGGGGCACCACCCTCAGTATGCCGTATTGTTCGCTAGTTTTTCGCGCGCGCGCGCGCGTGTGTATAGAATTTCCACGCGAAGCTCAATGTTTGATAAAATATGTGGTTATTTTATATAGCTCGAGGCGCCATACACTTGGCGCGAGTAACTCGAGATACTGCATTTTTGGAAGTTCGAAAGGAGCAACAAAAGGATTAAAAGAAAAAAGAAATAAAATAGTTTTACGCTCTCGGTATTTTCGAATAATCTATAATTAGTCATCGTTTCCCTCTGATTATTTTTTTTTGCCCGTCGAGAAAACTATTCATAAACGAGCCGAGAGGTTATGAAACGCTAATTGTGATGAATGGACAAACGAAGGCAAAAGTTTTCCGTTCTACTAATTGACAATACTATATAACGGCCGACGAGATGTTCTTACAATCTCATCATTGTTCTCCCGCATCGCGAGCGCGCGTCGTGTGCCACGCGGCGTTAATAATACGCGAAGTATAAGAGAATAGAGAGAGAGAAAGAAGCAAAAAAAAAAATAGCAGCAACAGATTCTCCCATCGGGTCAATGCGCCAAATCAGATTATACGAAACAATATCGCGAGGATAAGACCGTGTAATTATGTACACGTGTTTTACGCCGCGTCGCTGCATTTTTATCATTCCACGTTTCGAACGAGCTCATTGCGGATTTTTTGCTCTTTTCCCATTTGGAATAGAAAAAAAAACATCCAATTTTCAAAGCTAAATCCCCCTTTATACCTTCTCTCTCGCTCTGCAGGCGAGCAATACTGTCGGTCAAAATCACAAGGACGGCGCAAATCCTCGCTCGTTCACACATCGGATCACACGAGATTATTTCGGTCGAGCGAAAATTGCGACTATGTCGCTCGCGCGCGAGCCTACGCGTATATAACGCCTACAGCACAGCTCGTAGCGCGCAGAGAGTATGAGAATTTGGATTAATCTAGGACGCGCTGCACGGGAAAATAATGTTTTGGCTATAACGAAACGTACAGTGTATGGAAAAATTTGCTCCAAAAGAGGTCGTCGGGCGCTGCTTAACATTTTTCTGCTGCGAATCTATGAAATGCTTCGAGATTTGTTGAGCAGCGCGACCTCTTGAGGCGCGAAATTTTCTATACACTGCGTTCATACCCGTTAGCCGAAACATTATTCCCCGTCCTGGATTAATCCAAAATCTCGTACCCTGCGCACTGGCGTTTTAATACGTATAATACGTGTTTGTATACGCGCGTACACGGACGTGCGCGCACACGTGCAGGGAGCAGAGAGAATTAGAAATTTTTTTCACCTCATGCTCGCGTTGCTATTCTCATTTTCAAGATTTTCATACCCACTCGCTTGTGAAACGCAATTTTTTTTTTGCAACTCGCGAGGAAAATGAAAAATGTTACGCATCGGAGCGAGACATTGATCGATGAGTCATTTTAAAACCTTTCGTGCGGAATTAATAACTATATGAAAAAAAAACAAGGACGAAAGAAAGGGTGGGCGCGATTGGTGCCACGCAGTTCACGCGAGATATTCTGTTGCCTATGGATTATACGGAGGAGATAACTCGACTTGTAACCGATAATAAGCGGCGTTATACACGCACTGCATTATATATTATATACAGTGCGATCGTGTAAATCGAACGGATAACGAAAATTTTCGTGCCGACGCGGCGCGTAACGTGGGATGTGAGACATGCATCTTCGAAGGCCAATGTAGTTTCCGTTGTGTATCCGTCTCTCTTTCGCGCGCGCGCGCCGTATAACACGTTAAGTAGTATGGAAAAAGAAGAAAAGTTTGCAGCTCGTAAATTAATCGTTTTCTGCTGCTCGAGCGAGAAGGCCGAGCGAGTAATTTTCAACTCTGGCATTTGCGCAACTTGTGTTTATAATATACTCGGGGCTATATGTGTGTGCGCGAATATAGCGAATGAAAAAATAATCCTCGTTTCACGAATTTGTCCGTAGAATTAAATTTTTCACGGAATCCGCGAATGAAGGAGAATAATTGCGCCGATGTTTCATTTTCACCGCGCGCATGCCGCGGTCATCAATGATAACGAGATTATATTCTAGAGAGAAAATGACGTGTATATCGACGATTGACGGAAGTAATGATCGACTGGACAAATTAAATGGACGAGTATCAAAGTTTCGATCGTGTATACACACGAGGTGAAATCGATCGCGTCTGCGTTACGTAATTTAGGCATATATCGCGCGGCAGGCAATGCGCGCGAGCTATTACCCATTGTTGTTTGACTCTACTCTTCGCCGTGTGTTTCTTCCTCTCTTTCAAACGATTAAATGCATAAAATCCCAAATAGCGAGTCATTAATCATCGAGAGGTTTTTCATCGCTGAATCAAGGTAACCGTAAAAGCATTAATAATTTTCCCCAACGCAAAACGTCGACGAGTATCAGCCAGCACGGATGAAACTTATAATGCAGTGTCGTTTCGCATGGATGGAAAATATAAAGAAATATAAAAATGCAGCGCAGAGCTACTACGACCCGTTGCGATTCGACATTTTTTTTCCTCGCGCCACTGGAGGTATAATTGTCGCAATGCCTCTGCGCGCGAGTGCAAATATGACTCTTTTTCCTTCTCGGACAATGTTTCAAGCGCGCTGAAACTTCCCTTTTCGTTGCCTCGTTAAAGTTATAATGTTTCTCGTAACGGCGACGCCTCGTGGCGTGCGCATTAAAAATGAAAATTCAAAGGCAAGTCGAGGCGCGCGAGTAATACGCGCTTTGCGTATTTATTCTTATATTGCATATTATTATTGACGCATGTCTTGTGTCTCTGAAGCTGTATAAAAGGGAACTTCTACTCGCTTGACGTTCATTCGACAACATAAATATATGAAATTATTAAACGAGAGAAATTGAGTTTCTCGCTTAATGAGGTTACGAGAACAAAAAATAATTGCACGATCGATCTGGGGTACTTGCCGAGTATTTCTTCTCTCTCTCGTTGCGATAACGTTGCCGGGGCTTTGACAATCAGTGCACTTCTGATTTTTTTTTCCCAAACTGAATCTGCTTTGATCGGATCATGATATTTTTCATGGGATATTAAATTCTTTGCCTTTCCGAGGTACTGTGATTCGATCGCTCTGTCGCATCTCTGAAAAAAAAATCTATCGAATTAAATTTTACGGAAAAAAGTATTAACAATGATTTTTGACGGTGTTGAAAGATTGATATAACTTTGGATTTTATTGCGTTATCATATAAAACAATATTTATAAAACATAACTACTGTCTGTGCACGATTAAAAATTCTAAACGATGAATTCTTCTAGAATGTCGCAATGATTAAATTTTGCCGCTTAACATTACGGAGACAAAGATGATTCCTAAATAAAAAAAAATTCTATAATCATCAGTCATAGAAACTTGTCAAATGGATTATTAGCGATTGATAATTTACCTTGTCGAAAAGATAACTCATTCACTTTCGCCGTTTATTCTCTTTCCGAAAATGTTTAAAACACGCTTCGCCGTGAGTTGCAGCACCCTGACGAGAATTATAGTCTCTCTTACAATTACCACAACGAAATGTAATTGGAGTCGAGCATCTCGGACAAACATGTATATCTTTACCGCGATATTTGCGGTAGCTTTTGTTGCATGGTTTGCAATGAAAAATCCATTCTTTGATGAGGACTGGAAAATTAAATGATTACTTTGATTTCGATGCTTGAATAAATAATCTACTAATTTTACCTTTGAACATTGGATTACGAAATTTACTCGTATTTTTCGTAACTCCATTCATTTTATACTTATTCTTCTTTACTTTTACTTCATTTACACCTGAAACTATATTATCCACATTAAAGACAATTATTTTATAAAATTTATCTAATTCGATGGTCAAAAATAATATACGATGTATTTTGGTACCTTCGACAGGTTCTTGTTTGACTTTGATTAAATTGGGTTTGGTACATAATTGAGCTGGATTCTTTTTCAACTCTTCACAAATCGATTCTTCTCTTTCAGCTAAATAAAAGTATTATATTATATTTTAAATTGTTTAATAATTTTAAAAACAATGCCAATATTTTAATACTAACTCTTTACACGTGCTAATAAAGCAATTTTGTACATTTTTTCAGAATGTTGATGAGCATTATACCTATTATGGAATACTTTCGCGCAACAATTACACTGAAACATGATCGTGGTATTGCACTGAGGACATTTTTTCATACTTTCTTCCGAAAATTCCGGATAAGTGATTTCGCATGCGCTGCAATAAAAACGATATTTTCTTGTTGCTACTGAAAATTAGACGAGACTCTTTTATACATGTTTGATATAAAAAAAATAAAAAAAGTTACCTATTTCTTCAGATGGTTCCGTCTTGATAATTTGCCGATTTATTTTTTCAGTGTTTTCAGTTCGTTTCTTTTTACGGGGAAAGAAAAGTTCCGATCTTTTCTTACCTCCTACAAAATAAAAAAATCGTTTTAGTGCCTAGGTTTATTTTTTTAACCTTCAAAATAGAGAGAAAAATCATCTTACTTTTTCGTTTGACACCTTTATTCTTATAGTGAACATCAAAATTTCTTGTCACTCTTATTTTCACAATTTATTGGATCTTGTAAATTTTGTGAATTTTCACCTTGGAAATAATAAATTAAGCATTATATTATTCATAAAAAATTTATAAAATTAATTTCTTACCATAACTGTGCTCCATGATCGTGGAGTTATCATAATAAAAGTAGCTCGCTAAAATATATTTCATAATATAAACATATTCTCATTGACTCTATTTAATTTATGGTATAAAACGCACCTTTTTTTGGATTCATGATTTCAATGATTTCAATATCAACATCGTGGTCATTAGAAGCCGAATTACAGTCATCGCCTTCGACATAGTTACAATCGATGAAATAGACATCTAAACATAATTCATGAATATTAGAAGAAAAATAATAAATAAAAATACATGCTTTTTTATTTCAATACAATGCACACGTATATTAAATAATAATGCAAGCAGATTACAAAGGTAGCAATAAAAAGAGGGCGAAATAAAATTTTACAATGAAATACGGTCCGATTACACTTGATTTTTATTTTAAAAAAATTACAAAAAATATTATGAACATGTAAAATGCGAATGTAAATACATTTATAGTAATAAATAAATTGAAAAAGAAAACACAATGTTTTAAAGTCACAAGAACAATTTAGATGATTCATTCATTAAACTTGATTGTCATTTTAAAATATTCTGATTAATTTTCAAATTTTCCGCATTTTCTTTTAATATGGTTAATAACGCCACTATGAGACTTGCAGGTTGCATTGCACATAGAGCATTGAAAACTCAATACGCATCCACATTCAGAACAAATTTTATCAGACTTTCCAGGAAATTTTTTTTCGGTTTTTTTACAACTGGAGCAGTGCAAATTTACTAATCCTTGTGACGCTAAAATAAAAAAATTATTGTTTAGGACTTGTACCGATTACAAGCTATCATTGAATTGACCGTTACGAAACTTACAAAATCGCTTCCTCTGTATACGCAAGTCAGTAAGCAAGCCTGAAAATAAAATGAAAAAAATTGAGTATTTGACTTATTTTGTACGATGTTTTCCTTCAATTTGTTCAAGTCGACAACTGAAATTACAAAAATTTTCAAATAAATCGATTTGAAGCGAAGTTAAGGAGCTTCGGTAAGCGATTTACCTCCTGGACTAACTGAAGTATTATTTTGGCGAGTATCTGTAAAAAAAAAAAAAAGAATGAGAATAAAATCAAAGTCGAAAAACTCGACTAATCTTCGTTACTCGGGAGCGATAAATAGTCTTATAATTCAACTCGCACCCACGTGTGATTTACAGGTGAACGACCCGGAGAGCGCTAACCAGCCACCAGCATCGGCAGTTACAACAACGGAAGATAACTCTTGGTGAGTAAAAGATATACTTTTTTCGGGACGGGTAAGAAAAGAGGCGAAAAAAAGGAGAAGTTTTTTTCCCTCTCGTACCCAGTGGCCGCAGCGCGCGCGCTCGTGGCAGCGGTGTGAGTTACGTCGAGAATATAGGCACAAGTAAGTTCGCGGAAGACATAGAACTCGCTCGGACTAAGAAAGAGAAAAGCGATAGAAGACGAAGAAAAGATAGGTAAGAGCTTGTGAGAGAGAAAAGAGAGAGAGAGAGAAGTTTTCCTATCTCTTCGTGCTTTTGTTTCGTATATACCGCGCGCGCGTACAAGAAACACGGCACAAAAGCGGGCAAGAGCTTTTGTACCGAATATTGGATGTTGTTTTGTATCGACGAGAGGGACAGAGAGAGAGAGAGAATCGGGCGGGACTTTTTTTCTCCCGAAAATAATTTTCTTGTCAAGGCGCGCGCGGTACCATAAATTTGCGGCGGGGTAAACTCAAAATTTCTCGGGACAAGATTCGTTACGCGTTTCGCGAAGCACGATATATTATTCGCGAAAGCTCCGAGAGAGTAGAGTAGAACTGCAGCGTACAACCAGCTGCGGCACACAATATATATCGCGACGACGTTGTGCGAATAGGGAAAAAAAAATTTATACACATTCAGCTTCTTAACTCTTATTAAAAAATACGACAAAGAGCGAATAGGAATGAAAAAAAATAGAAGCATAAGAATAAAGAAGGAAAAAAGGTCGAGCCTGTTTCCGATGCTAGGTGTGCCACTGCTCTACCGGCTGTCTGCGCAATGAATGGAAAAATTCAAAGGGTATTATAACATTTAAAAGGAATTTCACCTTAGCCCCCGAGTGGCGCGCAAGCAGGATTAATTTACTGCTGAATACATTTGCAGGCGTAAGCGTCTTTGTATATTTCTCATTAGACTTTGACGCGCACGGATGTACATTTTTTCGGAATTCGCGATGTAGTAGCTCGACGGGAATGATGAATAAAATATAAGGCCTGGTTAAATTATGACGAATATCATTTCGTGCGGGTTATTACACTTCTCTATCCCTTTTTTTTCCTTTTTTTTTTTTTTTAATTTTCGCGATGACATTTATACAATGCAAATTAGATAAATTCATTGAATTCGCCGGGGGTGCCAAAAATGAGTCCAATTTTGGTTTCGCTCTCCTCTCTCGCTACTTCTCTTTCTCTCGTTCTCTTCTTACTCGAGGGAGGAAACGCTAACAGCCGTCTCGAGACCTATGTAAATATATCTGCTGCTCAAGACGAAGTTTCCCTTTCGATCGAATTTGTATTCCGAGCCTACTTAAGCCGAAATCTACAATGAAATAAGGATTCTCGAGCTGCTGTGCTGCTCGAGCGTGTCGGTGGAAATAAGGGCGTAAAAAAGGAAGAAGAAATTATAATTTTTCACCTTAATCAGTGCTTTCAGGCTAATTTGTTAAAAATATGCTCAAAAGTGGTTTTCCTCCCTTTTATATCTCTTTCGCTCTCTCTTGCTTTCGAGTCTCGGCGGAAAATCGCCTGCGGAAATAATAACGTTGAAAGTCGTTGCTGCTCGCAAGAAGAGATCTTTTCACCCTCCCGTGTACATTAACGTTATATTTCTGTTCTTTTCTCTGTCCCGCCCTTTCTCTTATTCCACTACCTCGTGCTGCGTCGTTGCCACTGCTGCTGCTGCTGCTGCTGCCCACTCGCCCAGGTCAAAGCAGCAGGATAATGAGAAAAGCGCGCGGACGAAGCAAACGAGGCTAATAATCGTCGTCGGTCTACTGGCGGTCGCCGTGATTGCCCTAGTCGTCACGCTGACTCTTCAAACGACCATTTTTGGAGCATCTGGCGGCAGCGGCGAGTCCAAGGAAATGTGCCAGAGCGAGGAGTGCATCAAAACCGGTGAGTTTTGGACCTCTCTTAAAATTTTGCGAGCCAACTAACCAACATTACGTTGGGGCTGTCTCTGCGTTTAAAATTTCACGTAACTAACTTGGTGTGTGCGTACATGGAAAACCGCAGCGGCTCGAATGATCGAGAACCTGAACAAGAGCGTCGACCCCTGCGAGGACTTTTACGACTTTGCCTGCGGCGGCTGGATAGCCCGCAACCCGATACCCCAGAGCGAGAGCGTCTGGGACCAGCTGATATCGCTGCACGAGGAGCTCAGTCAGAAGCTGCGGCTGCTTCTCGAGGAGCCGGATCAACCGGGCGAGCCGCGCGGCGTCAAGATGGCCAGGGCTTACTATCGCACTTGCCTCGACACAGGTACGCAACTATAACGTAAATGTAGTACACGTCTATACGGTACGCTCTCGGTGCGGTTTTACCCCGCAATTGAATTTCCACAGCTCTGACGGCGGCGGCCGACTTTTGTTTAACTTGAGCGTGGCGAACGCGGGCACACAGCGACACACACATACACACACACACTCACATGCAGCACGTTCACGAGTATCGAAATTTCATCAGTCAACGATTAAACGCCATGCGCGTCAAGTAATACTTTAAATCGACTGTGCACGCCGGCGAATTAAAATGAGAGAGAGATTCGAAAGCTGCTACGGCAATCGGGATTAATTAAAGTAGGAACTTCAATTAAAGTTGACTCGTCAAACCCTTCCGCGAATCGGACTCTTTTTCTCTCTGTACCCTTTGAACAATTTCCTCTCTCTATCCTTTTATTTATCTTTTTACTCTTCTTTTTGGCCCGCGCTCCTTCGCTTTTTTTACATTTCGCAAACAATCGAACGGCTCTTTCCTGTTTGCACTCGAGTTAAAATTAGTTTCCGATCTTTTATGAGTGTTTTACACCTGTTTTACGGAGTTTTCGTTTGGTCGGTAAAGGGAAAATGCGGCAGGGACCGAGCGCGTATGCTGCTCATTTTTAATGCCTGCGCAACGCCGCGCGGCAATAATAAGCGAATCATCGCATGGTCGATCGTCGTCGTCGTCGTGTGCACGGGGCCATATTATTACAGGAAAATTACGAGTATATACGCGCGCTGAATAAAACATGCGCTGCAAAACGAGAGAGATGCGTGTGTACGCGCGCGTGCTCCGCGCCCGGGAAAAGCATTTATACGATCGGATAAACGCGCTAATATAACAAATGCCCCCCGCGGGCACGGCCGCTGCCGCCACGTTACATACATAATCGATCGTAAAATAAGCCCGTAATATTGTTAATAATAATTGCTTTTTTTCCATCGTCGCGCGTGACGAACTTTAGATAGCATGGAGAAACTCGGTATGGAGCCCATTTACGAGGTAATGGCCAAGCTGAAGTTGCCGCGCGACATCCCCGAAGACGACCTGAATCCGCCGGAGCTGGACGTGGCCTGGCTGGCGGGCAACGCGCACCGCCTGATCAAGCTGCATCTCATGGTCAACTTCTTCATCAGCGAGGACCCGAGGAACGGCACGCTCAATCGCATGATGGTAAGCGTAGCTAGCTGCTAGTACGAATATCAGATGAGTATAAATACGCGTTACGTTAGTTGTGTGTATACGCAGAGAGGAGGAGTCGGCCGCGCGCCGAGCTCATGTGCAGCGCGCATGCAAAATTAACCGCGTAAAAGCAGTATATGAGCTCGTCCGCTGTTGCCGCGCGCTGCGCATCATTCGATTTGGGAATTTATCCGGTGGAGCCTTCGTTGGATATTTGATGAAGAAGCGAGCGAGAGAGAGAGAGCGAGAGATGCTCGTTTAATGGGTCGAAGCGCAATGCAGCGAGCGAGCAAACGCGCCGAGCGCGGTTGGCTTTTCCAGGCTAGTGCTTCTGGGAATTGCCCCTGTGCCGAGAGAGAGAGAGCACGCGGATGGATGATTAGCTGCTTGATGAACCTGCGTTTACTTGCAATTTATAGGGAAAGAGGCAAAAGAGAGAGAGAGAAGTTTAACCGAACAAAACAAATTGTTGGGATTATTTTGCTTCTTGTTCCTGTGCTTCTATACTAATAACTACAACTGCTTGCTGCTGCTGCATCATTGAAATCAAAAGATTAATTAAATTCAACTAGCAATAGGCACACTCGACAAAACCTCTCTTTACCCCCGTTCGCGCGCGCAAGAGAGAGAGAAAAGGTGATTAATCCCTTTCGATAAAATGTGCAAGCGCTCGGTAGTAGCGACGATTAAAAGCTCATACAGCGCAAAAGCTCTCGAACAATTTAATACCCCGAGTAGTATAACTATGAAAGTAGTAGTGGTGCTGGTGGTAGTAGTAGTAGTAGCAGGTACGTACTATGGGGTACGCGCGCAGTTGGTAGCAGCTAGGAGTGCAGTAGTCGTTCTGAGAGCGCGACGACGACGACGACGACAGAAGTTTATATCCCTCCCGCGGAACACTAATCGGATTCGTAAAACCAATAATCGTTAAGAGAGTCTAATATATGTGTGGCCTGCTGCTGCTGCTGCTGCTGCTGCTGCTGCTGCTATTGCTGCATGGAAGCAAGCGCACATAGAGTACATATGTGCACCGCGGCGACATAACTTTCTCACTTTGTTCTCACAAGCTCTAACGAATTTGTGTATTGAGATATTCACTCCGAAACACACTGGTGGCAGCAGCAGCCGTGGCAAGAGAGAAAGGAAAAAAGGTAAGAAAGAAAACGGCCTTTGTGTATATCGGCGAGAATACGCTTTAATCCAAGCTTCGCGATGAAATACAGCAGATAAGCCGGTATTATCAGGAATCACGAGAAACTATCTTCCCTCTTGCTCGCTCCCCGCCTCGTTTACGACGGAGGCACGAAAAGGAGAAAAAAGAGAGAGAGAGAGAGAGAGGTAAACTTTTTTTCTGTTCATACTTTGCAGCTGGAGCAGGTATCGCCGGTCTTGCCGGATCGCCATTTGCTTGACCCGGAGCGCTTCAAGTCGGAGATCGACGAGTACAAGAAGTACGCGAAATCCATGCTGGAATTGGCCGGCGTCGGCAAGCGCAGCGGCGAATTCGCCCAGGAGATAGTGGATTTTAGCACGCAACTCGCCGGGGTGAGTGAACGTGCAGCCTAGCACACACATATTACGAGCTTTGTAATATTGATACGCGTCGAAATAATCGATAGAGCCAATGCACACAGACGCGAGCGTGTCAGTCCGACATAATATGCTCTTTTCTTTTTCGCGTCCCACGTATATGTAAACGTTCGCGCGATTCACCGAACTACCCACCCCTTCGCGCGAGTTAATCATATAAGCGTGGACGCAATTTGCCTAAAAGCTCAGCCAAACGTCGAGTTATTCGCACGGTGGCGCAATTATTTCTCTCGGCTATAATGAACTGTATACCGAGGCGTTTGTGTGTATTTGGCCAATCCGATAAATTATCATTCACCGATGATGAAACTCGAGCTAATCATAACTCTCTGCTTTCTTTTGTTCCTTTGTTACGACGAAAAAAAAAAATGAAAAAAAACCCACGCAGATCTTAAACACGCCGGAGGAGCGCAGGAGCCCCAACCATATGTTTCACGACTTATCGTTCCAGGACCTTCAAATGACGACGGATATGAATGCTGCGCAGGTATGAAAGAAGCGCCCGGGCGTACATACACATATATACGGCCCAGGTATATACGGTCTCGTATATGAATATACATTTTTTTTCTTCCTCTTACCTGCACCGTATATACATTTATTATGCAGTATTATATACAAAACACGCGCGAAAGCTCACACATACACACACGCACACGCTCACACGTAGCCGGCATTTTTCTTATTTCTACATTATGCATTACGACACCTACTACTACTTTTTCCGACTCGCAATATTAGTGGCAATATAAATTCACGAAAAAAACGAAACATCTATTCTCTTACGCTCAGTGGAATTGGACGACTTACATCAACGGCGTGTTCAACGACACGGACGTTAAGATCGACGCGGCGAAGGAAAAGGTGATCGTGGTGGATATGACGTATTTGCAAAAGTTGCCGCAACTGCTGGTGCTGACGCCCCCGTCGGTCATCGGTGAGTACAATAATTTAATCGCATACGTTTAATAGTAAAAAATATTTAAAAATACACTCACCAATCAGGCGCTCCCAGATGATATCCCTCGTGTCCTTTTCCTCACATGAATCTGTGAACAATAAGTTTAAAAAATTAGAATTTTCTTACGAATCAGTTATATACATGAAATGTACAAGACTACACGTTAGTTCTAAATACCCATACATATAAGCGTGATTAATAAACTCCATCGTACATAAAATCTGAAACAAAAAACTGTACACATCAGGATTGCATTAATATGTAAGAAAATATAAAAAATCCTCTGCCTTTTTGGTAACCATACGTTTATTAAAGTTCAAAGATAAAAACGTTACAGACTAGGATTAAGATAATCATCGTTTCTTTCGATACAGTATCATATGCAAAATCAAGCATTAGGACACTTGTGCTTCCAATAGTACGTGGCGCTTTTGAAGGTCTTGTTGCATTTGAGACAGGCGGTGACGCTCGGCTTTTTGGCCGCCGTCGACTTGTCCTCATCGACGGCGGGATTGTTATTATTAGCCACAGTCACCGGGCTGCCCTGACAGCCGTGTCTAACGTGACGATAAGCCGAGCGCAGGCACTTGTAACTTCGTGAGCATTTGGCGCACAGCACCGTGAGCGACCCTTTGCAGCCCGTACATATCTGCGGCTCGGTCTGACGCGTAAAACAAGTGGTGGCTATTGTGGTCTGGCATAACGGGCAGTGCAGCTTGGTCAAACCGATCCAGTCTGTAAAAATCAAAAGTTATTATTGTCGACGGAGTTTGCAATTTTTTTTTCTATTTTATTTATTATTTTTTTTCAATTTTTTTTCAACTAAAAAAAGCTATAGTTACAACTAGAGCTATGTCACCCACTCATTTTGCCGCGCTTCTTCTCTCCCGTCGACGGTGCCGGACTGTCGGGTGGATTTTCATACATTTTTGCGGCATTGTCCAAAACTTTGATCAGTTCATCTAGAAATTGAAAATAAGCTTAGTTAGTTGTGTGATATTGTTCCAATACCATGGTTGAGTTATAAACGCACCTGCAAATTGATCTATCTCTGCTGGATCTTGAAATTTTTTCAAGTCATAGAGTTTGATTTCGTTTCTTGGTATAACATGAGAGTCACAGTAGTTTTCAACTATCGATAAACTCTTCATTGATAATTCAATATTTTCTGAAAGCAAAATAATATGTAAAATTATTACAGCAATTTATAAAAATACGAAATATTCAAACCATTTTCAAAATTTATTTCTGTGTAAACATAAAAAAACATAGTGTTGATAGATAATATGTTTGTTAATAGACATGGAATCTAATAATAAAAACTGAATAAATATTTATCCAAATTAATGAAATTACTGAATTCATATTCATATCGTGCTTTATTGTTATTATTTTATAAAGAAGTAACAAAATTTTAGTTACTAAAAGTATCATTTCACTAAAAGATATTACATGATTACACTGGTTTTTCCGTCATTTTAGTAAAAATAACATATATTTTATAGTAAAAATATAAACAATAATACTATTAAGACTATCTTAATAGAAAAACATGAAATAATAATTTCCTATAATACAACAAAAAAAAATTGGAATATAAACTTCATTATCATAATTATCAACAAAAAAAATGCACAAAAAAGCAGCTACTTATACAGTGATAAGAATTTTGATAACCAAAACATAATTTGAGTTTTTTAAACTTGTAGTACTAATAAATAAAATTAAAATAATTCTTTTTGAAAAGTTGATTTCTTTGCATAACTACAATTCATTATCTAAGTTATGGTTTGATGAAAAATATTTTAATAAATTCTAAAATGTTACTTGTCTATACTTTTATGATTAAATAGTTCAGAATGGTTTCGCTGCATATGTTCCATTAAAGGATATCGTTTGTTTGTTTTAAAATCACAATGATCACATTGGTATTTTGATTTATTGCAACAAGAACGCTTAATATGTCGATTTAAATTTCCAATAGTTCGAAATCTTAAATAACATTTAGGACATTTATGATATGAATCATCTTGCTTTTGGTGTTTTGTAGTGCAATGAATTTTAAGACCAGCTCTAGATTTGGCTTTGAATGTACAAAAATCACAGGAGTGTACTTGTTCAAAGCCACATACTCTCTCATGAGCAAGAGCATTGTACTGACTTTTAAATTTCTTGTTACATAATGAACATAAATGCACTGGTTGCTTATTGTATAAGTAAGGATGTTCATTTTTTAAATGAAGCCTTAGTTGCGTTTTATAGGTACTTGAGTAGCTACAAACAGTACAATAAAATATTTTATCCTCTGCGCAATCATATTTTAAATGATTCTGGATCATGATGAATGTTTTATAAACACATGTACAATTCGTGCATTGATATAAAATATCCGATTTGCATAATTGACAAGTCTTTTCCGTATAGTTATGAAATCCTCTCTTGCATTTGGAGCAATACATGCGTATTAGACTGCTTACATCTATATAAAACAAAAAATTAAACATTGTTAAACCATATTGTTTGTTTTTTGAAAAGTATCGTACTAATATTCTTTCTATTATTACTTCGTTTTTCTTCTATTTTTCTAGGCAGTAAGAATTGAACTTTTTTCATTCTACATATTTCTTGATTATTTTTTGGCTGATGCATAATTGATTTCATTTTTGTTAATCGATCATCATATTCTAATTGTATATCTAAAAATCATGTAGTAAAATGATTGTTAACATGCGATCATATATGATAATTGTATGAATAATTTATCATTACATCATACTTGCAAGTTTTTGAGTAGCAACATGAACATTGATATCCAACCCAATGGAATTAATACCCGATGAGTTTTGATTTAAAAATGAACTATTACCTAAAACAATTAAATTAAATTTTTAACACTTTCTTAATTCTTTGATCGTACGATTTACAAGTTCTTTCTATTTTATTGAAATAATGATAAAATTTTACCATGTTGTAAATGTTGATTAGCATTGGAGTATGGAACAAGTTCAGAGTTATAATTCTCTATATCGTATTGTACATTAATCATTGGTCTAAAATTATTAAAACTATTTGGGTTGAATTCGTCTGAAATTTCATTATGGTTAAGTATGAGCACAGAGAAATTGCATTTATTACATTCACATTTTGTTAAAATAAGCATAAATTTTCAATTTATAGTACATCTGTTTATTAGTGCAAAATGACATTTTGAGAATAAATTGTTAATGGATAGGCGTACCTGGATCATATAATGAATTTTGAATGTAATAATCGATGTTCGGAGTACAAGTGACATTTTGCATATCGGTACAAAATTGATCCGTGCTCTCTGGGATATTCAACATGGAAAAGAACAAAACATTCACGAGTTTTATGCCATGTAAAAAATAAAAGTCGCTGTCGAGTTCGCGTGCGAGCAGCTTGGTATAGAAAAATACAAGAGCGCTTACCTTCCATCGCAATTTCGAGTGGTTCGACTTCCATCGTATTGTTCTGTTCGGAGCTCAATCTCAAGAAGCGAAACTAACACACAACTTTTTATATGCACCGGAGCAGAAAAAGTATCGAGGGTAATTATTTACACTGGCCTTATCTCAAACAACAACAGAATCATTAGAAGACACGAATCGAATGCCAAATATTTTAATTTATCATTACGCATAACGAATTTTCACATTGAAAAACGTATCACTGCGAGGCATTCGGTAAGCACAATCACATAAATATGCTGAATTCGGCACTAGATACTGAGATTCTTGTACTCTAACGAGTAATCTTGTATACCCGTTATAACGTATCACTAACGTATGAATTGCAGACAACTGCCCGTGTGCGTTCGTTACATATATCGAACGGCGCACATTTTTGAGCACTTTTTCTTCATTCCACCACTCGGAGAGGTCACTCACGGAACACTGCAGTACGAAGAACTCGCGCGATTGTAAACAAAAGGTTGCGAACACTTGTGTGCGTGTACAGACGAGCACGCGTGTAGGATCCTAGCATAATCTGCAGAGTCGTCGCGCGGTTCGAAATCGTGCGTTCCGAGCGACGACGATCGCGAGCTAACGTGTTTTGTGGCGAAGCCAATGATGTTGTTCGACGCAACGGAAAATCGCGCGCTCGCTACGGCGTTGCAGAAAAATAAAAAAGAGTCGCTCGTGTGTATAAGTTGGTACTTACTGCAGAGTGCGAATTTCGTGGAACGCGTGTTCGATCGCTGCGATGATTTCGGGAATTCGGAAATGATCGAAAATGCACAAGGGGCTCCGGTGACGATATACGGCTGCCGTCGTGCGTACATTAATCACCACTTTACTCGTACTCGCGAGAAAACGTAATGAACGCATCAGAGGCCGTGAGTAAATTAAAGTAGCCAAACAAACAGACTTGACCCTGCGGGTCGCATCCGATATCATCCGCGTAACGTACTACGCTTCATCATTTTTACTTTGAAAGGTAGGAATGTGCACGTTTAAATAAGATAAATACGTAAGCCGCGAGAGATAATCGAGTGCATGAAAATGGGTATTATATCATTAGCCGACGGTTCCTTTCCAGAAGCTCGGCAAAATTACGAAAACAAAATTGTGCTGCAAACAGAAGTAGTATAGTAATAATCTCCTTGCTCTGTCTCTCTCGTTCTCCGTGGCACGCGGCGCAGCTCATCGGATGAAACAGCTCACGATGCTGCGACTGCCCTCGAGGATAGCATATACAGCTCCGTGTAACATATATAGGACATTATCGCTCGTCCGGAGGGAGGCCAAGCCAACTGTGTGCTTCCCAGCTCTAATACCGTTGCACGTGCGCGCAGGGCATAACAGCAGCAGCAACACGAGAGGGCAGCCGTAATAATTCTCGCGTACAGCAGCGTCAAAAAACTCGCAAACAATTCGGCGAGTGTAAGAGAGCGAGAGAAAGAGGGCAATGTTGCAGCAGTTGTGTTCCGTTGCCTGCATCTAATCTATATTATGGCGGACTAACACCGCTTAGGTGGGGGTCCGACGAACTGTGATGGGGCTTTAAAATAATAACATAAACAAGCCCCCCGCCCCTCGCGAATGGCGTTTCGCTATAGCGCATGCTGCTACTATTATATCCTCTCTGTGTTCTTGCTGCCGCGCGCGTGGATTATGCGTGTGCACCGAAACTATATGTATGAGCGGCGCGCATGGTGTACGGTGAACTTGTACGTGTTGTTATAGTGTGTGTAGGAGCGAATTAGCGCTGAATAACTCATAAGACCATCCAGAAACTCGCGCGTATAAGGCCCGAGAAATTCATAAATAAATGCCCCCGTGCGTTTGCCCTCTCATACATGATGTATAATTCCATCCGACGGATAATCTGCAAAGTATTTCACGAGTAGCTCTGCAGGTGGTGGTACCTACGCATGATTATATAACAATAGCACCTTTCGGGAGCTTCGCACTACACGTCTATAATGGTCACGCGTTGAATGAATTTATTTTTTCCTTATTTTCCTTTTCGGGCGAGATCCGTCGAATATTATACATCGATGCTCCTCCCGAGAGAAGGAGAGAGAGCAAAAAAGAGTCGAGTATGTGTGTTATACATAAAATCAATAAACGTACGCGTGCGGGTATTGATATCAAAGATCTCGTCGGTTCGGTATAGTATATATAGGATAGCAAGCAGAGAGAAATAGAAAAAAAGCTTGTGCTGCGCGAGCCCTCTATTACATCTTCTGCGAGCTGCAGCAGCAGCAGCGGGTGGGTGCCTGGTGCACCTGTCTGCGCACGTGAAATAGACTTTTTCATTGCTCCTCGCCGAATGTGTGTATCTGTCTCGGCTATGTGCCTGTATGTGTGTGTGTGTGCGTGTGTTGCGCATTATGAATAATGTATTCGCACGTGAGCTTGCGTGTGCATGTGTGTGTGTTGGTGTGAGTGCGCAGTGCAAGTCGAAAGAAAAAGAGAGAGAGAAAGAGAGAAAGGGAGAGACAGAGAAGTGGGCACAAAGAAATAGGTACATAAAGTTTTCAAGAAAATAGTCGCTGGGATAAAACAGAGAAAGAGAATATATAGAAACAGCGAGATACGAGGCAATAATATTGAAATTTTCTTTCTTCTCGCTCTCTCTCTTTCTCGCGCGTGAACGGATCTCCCTCTTGCCTCGGATCGTTACCGATCCTACGTTTATATAATATAGAGAATATCTCACTCGCGCAAACGTGTTCCGTGGTTTTCGATCCACCCGCACACGTCTCGACTCGGAGGACATTCGTGTATATATAGCTCTTTGGCGGCAGCTCGCAGAGCTTTGATAATTAAGAGCGCTTCGTCGTTTAACCGATCTCCTCTACGACTTTACCTCGATGTATCCTATATAATATGGGTAAGGCTCAGAATTTTTTAAATAAACCTGCGCTCGTATGTCACCGATCTTGACGCGCTTTTGGTATGTTATAGTACATGGTAAAAAAGACCCAAAACCAAAATTTTAGACCCCCTCCCCCCTCCTACCCCCCACTTCCGGTATAAACGTCCATTTTCTATCTATATTTTTTCTGAAGGCCTGAAGCATTTAAAAAATCTGAAAAAATTCACAAAAATACTTTTCAACAATCCAAACAACCTTGAATTTTTTCAGGTTTTTTAAAGCTTCGTATCGCCCTAAAAAAATTATTTTCGTTAAAAAAGGGCGTTTTTCGGCTATAACCGCCAGAGTTCTGTCTGAAAAAATCTGAAAAAATTTGAGGATATGTATTTTGATGCCAAAAATGAGTGAAAAAAAAGATCGGGCTTTGTATTGCATCGTAGCGCCGTACATGAATTTTCAAAATTTTCAATGATTTTTTCTAAAGGCCTGAAGCACTCAAAAAATCTGAAAAAATTCAAGGTTGTTTGGATTGTTGAAAAGTATTTTTGTGAATTTTTTCAGATTTTTTAATTGCTTCAGGCCTTCAGAAAAAATATAGATAGAAAATGGACGTTTATACCGGAAGTGGCGGGTAGGAGGGGGGAGGGGGTCTAAAATTTTGGTTTTGGGTCTTTTTTACCATGTACTATAACATACCAAAAGCGCGTCAAGATCGGTGACATACGAGCGCAGGTTTATTTAAAAAATTCTGAGCCTTACCCATATATATGAGCAATTCTCTAAATGAAACGCATTTTTGGAGGTAGAATCGCGGCAAATTTTTTTTTCAACCTACGCGGATACGGACCCCCGGGAAATGTTTTTGGGGGTCCTAGGAACATGTAACCACGTAGGAACCATTGAAATTTCAATAGTGCTTATTTTTATAGCTACATTTGTGATTTAGAGGACGAAAAATCATGTTTTCTCGTAAATACGGCTAATTACTCAATTTCTAAGTCGCTGAAAAAGTATCAAAACTCATCTGAAAAATTTAACTGACTACTGTAATCGAGAGGAAATTTCCTCAGCTTTTTGATGGTACTATTCGATTTTCCGAAATATCCAATTTTTACCGCAAAAATCGCCATCACACATTGAGGGCTAAATATGTCGAAAAATTCAGTACGGAAAAAGTGAACTTTTTGGAAAATTGTTGATTTTTCCTTGTGAAAATGAAATTTATCGAAAAATCTGACTACCCCATTAGAAAGCCGAGGAAATTTTCTATCGAAAGCGTATCTTCATTTATTTTTTGAGTCGAATTACAATGTTATACATGGGAATTTCTTTCACGTTGTTCGCTGTTTTTTGTTTCCGAGCTGATTCAGCGCGGTCGCGAGGTTTTCGGCTCGCTACAATCAAAACTAGCTCGTAAATTCCACTGAAAAAATAAATGAATATATGATTTCGATAGGAAATTTCCTCAGCCTTCTCATGGTGCCGTCAGATTTTCAAAAAAATCTCATTTTCAACAAGAAAAATCAAAAATAGACATCAAAGATCACTTTTTCCGTACCGAGTTTTTCGAGATATTTAGCTTGGCCCGTTTGATGGCGATTTTCTCGGCGAATGTGCGACTTACCGGAAAATCTGATACCGCCAATGGAAAGCTGAGAAAATTTCCTATCGAACACAGTAGCCAGTTATTTTTTTTAGATGAGTTTTGATACTTTTTCAGCGACTTAGAAATTGAGTAATTAGCCGTATTTACGAGAAAACATGATTTTTCGTCCTCTAAATCACAAATGTAGCTATAAAAATAAGCTTTATTGAAATTTCAATGGTTCCTACGTGGTTACATGTTCCTAGGACCCCCAAAAACATTTCCCGGGGGTCCGTATCCGCTTAGGTTCAAAAAAAAATTTGCCGCGATTCTACCTCCAAAAATGCGTTTCATTTAGAGAATTGCTCATATAACATATTTCGTGCCTCGTTTGTGCTGCAGCTCGTTACGTGTGGTGGTCCGTGTACAGCACCTTGGCGCCGCTCACCATGCGGCGCTTCCGCGAGCTCGGCTTCGAGTACAGCAAGCGCGTCTACGGCCTCAAGGAGAATCATCCGCGCTGGAAGGTCTGCGTGTCCAACGCCAACAACTACTTCGGCATGGCCCTCACCAACATGTACTCCAAGAGGTTCTTCGACGAGGACCAGAAGCAAAAGGTAAATATCATCATCGCCAAATGTGTAGACACCTTGGTGAGGTGCGCAGGAGTGAACGAGTTTATATTCATGAAGCTAGGCGCGCCGTTATTACATTTAATTGCAATTTATATCCCGCTATACTGTACAGGCGCTGGACATGCTGATGGACATAAAGGAGGCCTTTGAGAACATGATCGGCGAGCTCGACTGGATGGACGCGACCACGAGGGCCCGGGCTCACCGCAAGCTCCAGGCCATGAGGCTGTGGGTCGGCTATCCCGATTGGATTCACGACCCCAAGAAACTCGACAAGCATTACGAGAACGTGAGTCGTCTGCCGGCAAATTACTTTCTTCGACTCGTATATACTATACCCAAACCAAGCTCGATGCTCGCGGAGGCGAGAAATTAACCGCTTCTTTTTTAGCTAATTCTTCCTTTATATACTCGCTTTCTATACACTCGTGTAATTGGCTAACTACTTACCACGACCTTACTTTATGCGTGTCGCAGTTCACGGTGGTCGAGTACAATCTTTTGAAGACGATATTGGGTTTGACCGGGCTCGAGGTCAAGACCAGCCTCAACGCGCTGAGAAAGAAGCCGGACAAGAATCGCTGGGTGACGAGCGGCACCACGGCTAATGCCTATTACAGCGTCATTCTCAACTCTGTCAGTGAGTACACGAATCGTATCTACATATTTTATGAATGGATAATTTTTCATCGTTTAACCTACCTGTGTATTTTTGTTCAGCAATCCCAGCCGGCATTCTGTATCCACCGTTTTACGGCAATGGACTCGAGTAAGTGTATTTTTATTGATAAATTTAGAGGCATTTTGGCATTATCATTTCTTGCTCGTTATATCTGCTTTCAAATAATGGTTAATCATGATAAGATATAGAAAAACCGCAGGCTTGTTAATGTCAACTAATATTTTTCAACTTTCATTTCTGCATTATTTCATTTGTTTTTTCATTTTTTTTCCTGCAAATTCAGCATCAACTTTGATTAAAAAAGAGACGCGTACACATGAACGTCAATCAAGTTTCAAAAGAGCGTCGAGCTCTATATGTGTTTTTTTTAATAAATCGCTCGATTTTCAAAGCGCGCAAGCTCGCGCGCACACACATTACAGCCCAATCAAAAAGGCAAAATTTTTAATTAACTCCGAGCAAACGTATCCACGACATAGAAATCATTAAAGCTCGTGACGATACGCATCTTGTCGATACATATTTCGTATTAAATACATGTATACAAGAGCATAGATGACGGGGGCGCAGCAAAAAAATACGTACACGCGATTCTATACGTACAGACAGACAGACAGATACGAAGTGAAGTGAAAACACGACGAAAAAAAAATGTTTTTTACGCTTTTTCACAGGTCCATAAACTACGGAGCGATGGGAGCCATAATGGGACACGAGTTGACACACGGTTTCGACGACCAGGGTGAGTTGTTATTACCCTTTCTTCTCGCTGTTTTTTTTTTCTTTTACTGCTACTCTCGCGTCATTTCGTCGCGCAAAAAGCCCCGCAGAGCGCGCGTATAATCCCACATATAATTATACGCCCTCGAAGTGCAAATTCGTGCGAAGTTCGCGAGCTTTTCTTGCAAGAAAAGAGAAAGCTTGGGTTGGGAGGTACACTATACCTGCGTCTCGTAAAAGCGTGTAATTTTGCGTGTGTTTGCAGGGAGGAGATACAATGAGGAGGGCGTCCTCCGTCAGTGGTGGAGCGACGAGACGCTCAAGCATTATTCCGCCAAAGTTGAGTGCATAATCAAGCAGTACGACAATTACAGCGTACCCGAGCTCGGCCACAATTTCACCGTGAGTTTTTTATCCGATTTTTTTTTAGCATCGATATTAGAGCTGCCCCATTATGTCTGGGATTATAAATACACGATCGGATTGCGCAGGTAAACGGCTTCAATACCCAGGGCGAGAACATCGCCGACAACGGGGGCCTGCGCGAGGCTTATCGAGCTTACTCGAAACTGCGCAAACGCCGGCCGACGCAGCAGATCGCTCTGCCCGGCCTGGTCGATTACAATCAAGACCAGCTTTTCTTCCTTGGCTACGCCAATGTCTGGTGCGGCAATCAGACGCTCGGCGCCTACAAGACGAATCTGGTCGAAAACGTGCACGCGCCAAATCGGTTTCGGGTGATCGGTACTCTGTCCAACAACGAGGACTTCGCCAAGGCCTGGCAGTGCCCGCGCGGCAGCCCTATGAATCCCGTGCACAAGTGCGTGCTTTGGTGAAGAAGCCATACCAGGCGTTTGTTTGTTTTTTTTTCTCTCTTTTTAATTTTATTCACTGTCAGTGCCAAGATGTAGCGTGAGAAAGAGAACAAAGAACGAGATGTGATACATTATATACGCACATTTGCCAAAACATAACGAACTTTTATGTACGAAGCGCGATTAAAAGAGGAAGAAAATAAGTTTAAGTTAAGTGTCCATCGAACGGACAAGCTTACAATAACAAAGCGCATTCGCATAAGAGTCTGTTATTATTCACAATATCTTTCAATTGTAAGAAAATTATTGTACTTACTCATGATTTATTTGTTAAATGCCTACAAAGTATCTAGCTTTGTAAAAATGTTTTTTTATTGTCAGAAGCATGAATCTTCGAGCAAGTGTGTAAACGAGCAATGAGCGATTGAATTTTGATTGTAAATATTTGCTTGGTATACGATTCAGTTGAAAAATCACTATGTGTAAATATAGCGATAATTTTGAAATTTTACTCGCTGTTGTGGATAAAGAGAATGGGGCTTTTTTATCAGGCAAAGAGCTTTTTTTTACAATTCCCATGTAATAAACACAAAAATAGCCAGTATTATGATATTTTGTAAATCGAATTTTCATGAAGAACTATTTAAAAAATTTCTAAAGTGAATCAATCACTTTCAGTTATGTTAGATAAAGTAAGAAATTTACAATTTTAAACGATATTTTTATTGTAATGACGTAAATAAATCAATTTGTTACAAAAAAACAAAAATTTTTCGCGTTTTTTCAATTACCAGTGTTGCGATTTCATTTTACATGGTATTATTATGAAAGCTTTGGTACTTTCTTATGTATAAAATCGTATCCACGTAAAAAATTTTAATTATATAATATTTTTGGATCATATTTAATAATCATTTTAATATTACTTCCATTCACCTTTTATAGATCTTCATCTTTATACATGTTCATAGTAAATATAAATAAATAATTAATTATACTTTATATAATATCTACTTTAATCTTTTCATCTTTGTATTATTTTAACTGCTATTGCCATACAAGAAATTCTCTTGTTGAAGCGATATTATTGAAATATTTTATTTTAATTCATTGAACATATTTTTGAATAAACTACAGTTTTATTTCTCTTTATTTCTCATTATAATTCTTATAAAAAACAAGTTATTCATAAAAAATAATTTACTGACATAAGGATAGATACAATTGCGCATGTTTGCGATTATGAGACAATAGCTTGAGATTTCCATAACTACCATTACTATACGAGGCACGTACTTGTTTACCTTGCTTTTAAAGATTGAGATATTCAGCGCTTAATTGAAGACAATCACTGGTGATTTTTAAAGTAAGCCATTATTAAAAATTAGAATTACTATGATTATCAAATTAGCTGTAATAAAACTTTATTGAACTTGTTCCAAAATATTTTGAGAGTCATTATATTTTAGAATTTACTTATATTATTAACTATTTAAGAAACCTCACTACACAAACAATAGCGCAGGTAAGCAAAAATGTTATTGAATTCATATAAGTAGTCTTAACGAACTTTTTAAAATTGTGTTCGCAAAAGGGATTGAATGACGTACTTTACGACTTATTGCATTTGTCCATCGTGAAATGTTTTCCGGTGTCGGTTCAAATTGGCTAGATGCCCAAATTTTTTCTCGCATTTGTCACATGCAAAATCTTTGCGACCCTCGTGGACTATCTCTTGGTGTTTGATCAAATTACCTCGTTCCCCAAATTTCTTCTCGCACTTGTCACACGCGTGATCTTTTCGACCTTCGTGTACTGTCCTTTGGTGTTTAAGCAAATCTGATTTTTGTACAAAATTATTTTGGCTTTTGCTGCATTCATAATCTTTGTGGCCGCTATGGACTAGTCTTTGGTGCCTCAACAATTTTGATCTACTTCCGAATTTTCTCTTGCATTTGTCGCATACGTAATCTTTGCGACCCTCGTGAACTGTTTTTTGGTGCCTGAACAAGTCCGATGTTTGTCCAAATTTCTTCTCGCAATTTTTACATGTGTAATCTCTGTGACCTTCATGAACTGTCTTTTGGTGTCTGATTAATTTTGATTTTTCTCCAAATTTCTGCCCACACTCGTCGCATCCGTAATCTTAGCGACCATTATGTACTGTCTTTCGGTGCCTAAACAAGTCCGACGTTTGTCCAAATTTCTTTTTGAAATTTTTACATGGGTAATCTTTGTGATCTTCATGGACAGCCTTTTGGTGTCTGATTAATTTGGATTTTTCTCCAAATTTCTGCCCACACTCGTCGCATCCGTAATCTTGGCGACCTTCGTGGACTATTTTTTGGTGCCTCAACAATTTTGATTTTTGTCCAAATTTTTTTTCACACGTGTTGCATGTGAAATCTTTCCGACCTTCATGCACTGTCATTTTGTGTACAAACAAGTTTGATTTTTGTCCGAATTTCTTCTCGCAATTGTCGCATGTGTAATCTTTGTGATCGAAGTGAACTACCTGTCGGTGCTTCAACAAATTCGATTTTTTTCCAAATTTCTTCTCGCAATCATCGCATTTGTAATCTTTACGAGCTTCATGGATTACTTTTTGGTGAGTGAGCAAATGCCATTTTACCCCAAATGTCTTCTCGCATTTGTCGCAGATGTAATCTTTGCTACCCTCGTGAACTGTATTTTGGTGCCTGATCAAATCCGACTTTTTTCCAAATTTTTTCTCGCAATTGTCGCTAGCAAAATCTTTACGACCTTCGTGAACGGCCCTTTGATGGTAGAGCAAATGCCCTTTTTGTCCAAATACTTTCTCGCACTGGTCACACACAAAATCTTTTCGGCCTTCGTGTACCGTCTTTATGTGCAAGAGCAAACTTCGATTACTTCCAAATCTTTTTGCACATTTTTCGCATAAGTAATCTTTGAAAATTTCGTGGAATATTTTTTTGTGCTTGAGTAAAGCTAATTTACTTTCAAATTTCCTCTCGCACTTGTCGCATGCAAAATCTTTGCAGTTTTTGTGTCCTGATATTTGGTGTCTACTCAAATGACTTCGGAACTCAATAGTATATTATGTAACAAGTGCGCGAAGCAGTTGACTCATCCAGGAGTTGTTTTCACCCGAGCGAAGCGAGGGTGCAAAGACTCCTGGGTGAGTCAACTTCCTCGCGGACTAGTTGCAAACGATATTTTTTAACTCTGCTTGCGAGAAACTAGGGTTTTCTGACGCTTTAAGGTTAGAAAACCCGTGTTTCGCGCACGCAGTGTTAAAAATTTTTTTTTGCACTTACCGCACGCGTAATATTTTTGATCATTGTGAATTGTGTCTCGGTGTGTTACTATACTCGATTCTAGAGTAAATGCCTCCTGACAAATATCATCAATGTATTGTTTGTAGTCTGAATCAACAATGTCGTGTTCACTTAAATTATTTTCAGAGATTTCAACCTCGGGGTTCTTCTCACTTTTATCCATTTAAGCGCCTGAATCGAATGATGGATCCTTCTATTTATAGCTGTGGATGTTGAATGGGTGACATTTATCTTCTGGTACTATATGGCTTATTTCATCAAAAAAGACACTCAAACTAATTTGTTTTTATTGTCAACTTGGTCAATGTTCGAGGAGCAATGCCAAAATCGTTTATAATCATATTGTTTACAATTAAGTTATCGACTTATCTATTTATACATGGTCTGTACAATATTTGAACCAGTCTCAAAATCTAACTTGACAACAATTTCTTCGAGGAATTGTTTTGGCCTTCTAAAACTAAGTGCTTTCAAAAAACTCCCTGAAATGTCAAGTAAATTGATCATTATACATATATGTATTCAGCAGCGGATTAAAAAAAGGTCTGTCACTAATGACACGCGAACTTTAATTTGCTTGAAGAGCTTCAATATAAGATTTTGGATTGATAAAAGTAATAAGGAAAGGATAAAACAATTATGAGAACTTTTACTAATTTTCAATTAATGTAGACAACATTATTTTGTTTGAATTAAGTAATTGAATGATTTCCACGTTAGTTTTTTCAGTAGGAACATATTTTTATAGCCGATCCCTTTTTTCTTAGTAAAAAAAATGAATCTGTCAGGAAATTTATCAAAATCTTTCCCTAGCGCATCTTTGATTAATTTAGGGTGACGATATTATTACGTGAGGTCTATCAAACATTGAGTTGCCAACTAAATGCTCGTCCTGTTCTCAGCTCCAAACAAGGATTAACAAAAAACCCTCAGCTGAACGTTTCACGCAGAGCTGCATAAACCAAGTCGATAAAAAATTCATAGAGACTAGTAATTAGTAGTCGTGTGGTTAAGAAATCAAGCATAAATTATGTCAGTGAAAAAAGGTGTACTAATAGTTATGTATAGGTATCGATACTTATTTACAATTGTCAATAATCATTTCTACTCGAAATTGTAGCACGTAATCTTTACAACATTTCATGAACTGATTTTTGATGTTGAAGCAAATGCACATTTTGTCCAAATTTTTTCTCTCATTTCTCGCAAGCGTAGTCTTTGTCACTTAAGTGAACTGTCTTTAGGTGTTTTCTTAAATTTTGTAGAAACCCAAATTTCTTCAGGTATTTGTGTCATTTGTAATCTTTCCGACCTTCATGGACTGTTTTTTGGTGCATAATCATAACCCATCTATGTCCAAATTTCTGCTCACACTTATCGCACTCATAATCTCTACGGTTTTCGTGTACTGTTCTTTGGTGCCTCAACAAATCTGATTTAACTCCACATTTCTTCTCGCATTTGTCGCATGCGTAATCTTTACGATTTTCGTGGACTATCTGCCGGTGATTAAGTAACATCACTTTTTGTCCAAATTTCATTTCACACTTTTCACATGCGTAATCTCTCTGACCTTCATGGACTAATTTTTGGTGTCTTTTAAAATTGGAATGTTGCCCAAATTTCTTCTCGCATTTGTCACATGCAAAATCTTTGCTACCATTATGTACTGTCTTATGATGTAAAAGCATATGCTGTTTATGTCCGAATTTCTTTTCACACTTGTCACATACGTAATCTTTTCTACCTTCGTGTACTGTCCTTTGGTGCCTCAACAAATCTATTTTCCGTCCAAATCTCTTCTCACACTTTTCGCATGTGAAATCTTTGCGACCTTCGTGAACGATCTGATGGTGTCTGAGCAATTGATGTTTAAGCCCAAATTTTTTCTCACACTTGTTGCATGCAAAATCTCTGCGAATTTCGTGGACTGTCTTTTGGTGTCTAATCAATTTCGATTTTTCCCCAAATTTCTGCTCACAATTGTCGCAAACGTAATTTTTGCATCTTTCGTGGACTGTCTTTTGGTGAGAAAGTAAATGAGATCTGTACCCAAACTTCTTTTCGCAATTATTGCATGCAAAATCTTTGCGGCCTTTGTGGACTATCTTATGATGTCTGATAAATTTTGATTTTTGTCTAAATTTCTTTTCACGCTTGTCGCATGCAAAATCTTTTCGACCTTCGTGGACTGCTGTTATGTGCAAGAGTAAAATTGATTTATTCCCAAACTTTTTTCCACAATTGTCACATATATAATCTTCGAAGACTTTGAAGGCTAAATCTTTACGATCTTTGTGTACTGTCTTTAGATGGAAAAGCAAATGTGATTGATTTCTAAATTTTTCTTCGCACTGGTCACACGCAAAATCTTTTCGGCCTTCGTGTACCGTCTTTATGTGCAGGAGCAGACTCCGTTTATTTCCAAATCTTTTTGCGCATTTTTCGCATAAATAATCTTTGAAAACGTCATGGAATATTTTTTTGTGCTTAAGTAAAGCTAATTTACTTTCAAATTTCCTCTCGCACTTGTCGCATTTGAAATGTTCACGATTTTTGTGTGCCAATTTTTGGTGAGTAAACAAACTTGACTTTTTCACAAATTTCTTCTCGCACTTGTCGCACTCAAAATCTTTATGGCTTTTGTGTACCGATATGTGGTGTCTACTCAAATGACTTCGGAACTCAAATTTTTCTTTGCACTTGTCGCACGCGTAATATTTTTGATCATTGTGAATTGTGTCTCGGTGTGTTACTATACTCGATTCCAGAGTAAATGCCTCCTGACAAATATCACCAATGTATTGTTTGTAGTCTGAATCAACAATGTCGTGTTCACTTGAATTATTTTCCGAGACTTCAACCTCGGGGTTCTTCTCACTTTTATCCATTTTAGTGTCTGAATCGAATGATGGATCCTTCTATATATATCTGCGAAAATTGAATGAGTAAAATTTATCCGTTGGTTTAACATGGCTTGTTTCATCGAGAACAACACTCAACCTACTTTGTTTTTATTCTCAACCTGATCAGCTGTGTTTGAGGGACGATGTCAAAATCGTTTATGATCATACTGTTTGTAATGTAGGTACAGATTTATCTAACTATACATTATCCTTACAATATTTGAAACAATTAAAAATTTTAACTTTGAGGGAGACGATTTCTTCGAAGAAATTGAATGGCCTTCCAAACCTAGTATTTCAAAAAATTCCTAATCGAAAAAATCATGTTCGCACAAAAAACTGATTATTTCAAACGTTGTCCACGAAGACTATTGAATTAATCGTTGCATTAGTCTTGGATAGCAAAAACATTACTTACTTAGATGCAATTTTTTTTATTGCTACAATGTGGGAGTAATTATTTTCAGTCGCACAATCGTTATGACGAAATTTTTTCTGGCAAATTTTTATTTGTCATAGTTTCTATTACCAAAACATAAAAATTTTAAGGTTTTCGTGCCATTCATCGAAAAGATTTGTTATTAAGTAACATTTACACGAGAAAAGAAGTCAATAAACCTAAACTTAATATTACACGACCAATTATCTGTATGCTTCTTTTTTGAAAAGGATATAAAAAGGTAATCTTCATAATCCTCGTAATCCAAGGAAAATGTTTTTCTGCCAACATTTTCATATTTTCGTTATAAAATGAAGAAAAATTAAAAAATATTCTTTCACTCTAGGTATATAGTTTGATCGGATATGATGATATTTGTGTAAAACATCGTAATATATACTGAATTAACATTATTGAAACTCAAAAGGTTACGCCACCTGCAGTTTTAATAAAGTTTTCCGAAAAGTTTAATACGCAGAGACTTGTTTATTTACTATTGTTTCTTCTCATAATAATTGCTTCCTCATAGAGGAAGCTCTGTGATATTTTTTTTTTGTCTTCCGAAAGTTGTACTTTTGTCTTGGAAAAAACATTTCAACGCGATATAAAACTCAAAATAGAAAATAATGCACGCGAATTTGGCGCGCTCAACTCACCGTTTTTCTACTGCTGCGGAGTATGGTATAAAACGAGTATACAGTGGTAGGTAATTTCTTAGTGTGGTCGGCTGCCGGCGGTGCAAGTGCACTCGAGCATCGTATCGAGACCCAAGTCACGTACCAAACATAACAAGAAATGAATCGATTTGTTGATTGTTACAGAGGAACTTTTGAATATTCTCGTGCAAAAGTCCACTCGGTTTAACAAGCTACTTGTGACGAGAAAAATAAATGGTAAATTACTCGCGGCATAAATTTAATATTGTAAAATGTGCCAAGAGTGTGAGACATGCAGTTAAACATTTGGGAAGAATTACAGCTGAACACTGCATGTGTCAAGACAGAGATAACACAAGATGTTATCTCTCGAGGCATTGCGAACAAACATTGCACTCGGTTCTTCGCCTCGATAATGCTACTGCCCAAAACACTTCCAATCGCAGTTCAGAGCTAGCTCGCAGACTCGCATTCGTTGATCGTCGCGATGGATGAATTTCACATCACCAAGGTAGACGTGAAGGACGTGAGATTTCCAACTTCGTTGAATCTCGACGGCAGCGATGCGATGGTAAGAAAAATACGAAGAAAAAAAGCTGCGGCAAATTTAGATACATATATACGCCAAAAATTTCATTCCAATTATTCGTTCTGTCGTTCAAAAGCACACGAGCCCGGACTACTCGTGCGCATACGTAACGATCAGGACCAATGACGAGAACGTCGAGGGCTACGGTTTGACGTTCACCTGCGGCCGAGGCACCGAGATTGGTTTGTCACACTCTTTTGACTCTTCCTTGCATATTTCTTTCTTTTTCATTTTTTACGGGCGTGAATCCTCGCATGGATAATGTTACATGTGTGTGTGTGCCCGCGCAGTTGTCCAGGCGTGTCGAGTTATTTCGAAGCTGATCATCGGTACGAAGTTGAGCGACATTTACCATGATTTTGCTGCATATTGGAGGATGATAACCAGTGATCCGCAATTGCGATGGGTAAGAGAAATACTTCGATTTAAGCCCACACGTAAGCCATATCGATAAAAAAAAAAAAATAACGTCACTTTCAATGTAGCTCGGACCGGAAAAAGGAGTGATGCATTTGGCCACTGCGGCCCTGGTCAATGGCCTCTGGGATTTGTGGGCGCGCATCGAGTCGAAGCCGCTGTGGAAACTACTCGTCGACATGTCACCCGAGCAGCTGATCTCTTGCATCGATTTTCGATACATGTGAGATATTTATAAAGCTAAATGGAGCGACGTGTATCGCTGTGTAATAAACGTTAATTGTTGATCGTACGATGGCCGAATTCGGCTCTCTCATTAATTTTCCAGTACCGATGCCATCACCAAGGACGAGGCTGTGGCGATGCTACGAGCCAATTCGTCGCGCAGAGCCGAGCTTGAGTCGAGTCTCCGCGCTACCGGTCTGCCGGCTTACACGACGCAGATCGGCTGGCTGGGCTACGGCGATGAGCAGCTCAAGTCGCTTTGCGCCAAGTACTTGGCCCAGGGATACAAGGCGTTCAAGGCCAAAGTCGGCCAGGACCTGGTCAGCGACTTGCGACGCTGCGAAATCATCAGGAAGGCCATTGGTTACGAGAAAGATCTGATGGTCGATGCCAACCAGGTCTGGGACGTCGACCAGGCCGTTGATTGGATGAAGAATTTAGCGAAATTCAAGGTATGATCGGAGCATTCTGAAAACATTTCGATCTCTTATTGAGCTCTTATCGATTCTATGCAGCTCAAGTGGATCGAAGAGCCTACGTCCCCCGACGACGTAGCCGGGCATGCAAAAATTAGGGAGCAGCTTCGGCCGTTCGGTATTGGAGTTGCTACGGGTGAAATGTGTGCCAATAGAGTCATGTTTAAACAGCTACTGCAAATGAAGGCCATCGATTATTGTCAAATCGATTCGGCGAGGATCGGCGGAATCAATGAAATTCTGGCGGTGTACTTGATGGCTAAAAAGTTCCAAGGTTGGTAATAAGTAAATAATGTTATAGTACCCATTCAATGTTGCAGATAAACTTTATTTTCTTTTGTACCTTAACTAAAAGATGAAACAAAAAAATTTATTAATATTTCATCTAAAATATGCACCCTTTACAGTACCAGTCTGCCCTCATGCTGGAGGTGTGGGTCTCTGCGAGATGGTCCAACACTTGCAGATGTGGGATTACATCTGTTTAAGTGGAACTTTAAGGAACAGAATGATTGAGTATGTTGATCAACAACATGAGCACTTTGAAAATCCAACAGTAATTAAAAATGCACATTATATGCCACCAACGAGTTACGGCTACTCCACAAAAATGAAAGAAGAAAGTTTAAGAAAGTATGAATATCCCCATGGTACAGAATGGCAGCGCATGATTCATGAAAACATTTTTCCAGCCCCTGAATAAAATTTAGCATAAGATTATCTGAAAAATAAGTAAAACTTGTTTTATGACAATCAATCATTCATGGTTAATTCAGAAATGAAATTTGCTTACCTAAAACTGCATTTAAACAAATCCTTGGTATCAACAAACTATGAGAATCACTATTACAGTCAACACTAACTATCTTTGATGAAACGTGATTTTACGTAATCTGTCTGTAATAATTTACATCTTGTATTCAATATTAACAAAAACCTCATTTAAAATTCAATTTCTAAAATTTACTTACGCCCACAAACCAGTAAGAGTTTGGCTTAAACATCATATTTTTCACAAAACTCATTGATTCTACTGGAGATATAACATGCAGGTGTAAATGGTTAACAGTAGTAAACGGAGGCCAATGAAATCCTGTTCGAGTTGAAGTTTTTTCCAAACCTAGACGATCAATAATAATATCTACTGTGGCAACCATCTTATCATCTGTAATTATTAATATTGTAAATTCGCACACAAGAGTAAATGAAAACAAATAATATTTCCTTATCATACATACAAATTTCTTCATCTTTTTTTTCCATGACTTTAGCATTGACAATGTGAATCTTAGGAATGATAAGATAGTGATGAGTTGAGGCAGGATTTATATCTTTGATGCAGGCAACATGCTCGTCCTTGTAAAAAAATTATAAGCACAATATTGTAACAATAACTAAAAGATTAAAGAGCTGCTTATTCACCTCATAAATATTTGTACCAGGCTCTTCTTTCTGAAGAATTTTGCAAAACACGCAATTATTTTGATAATTTTCAACAGTAGCCATACTTGTAAACGAATATAAATTACATCAAATAAACATTTCTTGGCTATGATTGACTTTTACACTAAAATTTCTAGCAAAGTACGTTTAACACGAGCAAAAAATCAAATATTCTGTGGAGTTGAGCAACAATAACATTCCCGATTTGACGTTAATGTCTGACGGTCAGTAAACCAAGTGAAAACTTCACAACCCTGAACACATGTCATCAATTTGAATTTGCAGTTCAAATATGAATCTGTACTTTTTTGTAGTACATTAATACAAAAAATGTTGGTACATAAAGGAGTTGTTGGAAAGTTTATGGTCAGCAAATAACTCAACATTGATTTTACTTTCATAAAAGATTTTTAATTAATTTAAAAATTATATGTACATAAAGTTTAATCAAACAGAGATTGGAACATTGAAAAAAGGAGTTCATTAGATGGTCTGAACCTTAAGTCAACAATACTCGCGAAATTATAAAATAAAACTAGTAAGAAAATTTTAATTTTCTTTAATTTCTTATAGAAAATTTTGCCAAAAACGTATTTTGTTTTTACTTAAAACACAGAAATAAGTAATCACATCAGAAGACATTTATACTAAGTTGAAATCACAAGTTTAAAGTATTAAAGTATTTTCTATGTACAGAATAATAAAAATATTTAAAAAATCTATCTAACTATGTACAGTATACATAATATTATATGTAATCAACAAAAAGATCAAATTTTTAATGTTTGAATCTTTTTCAGTCTTTTCCTATGTGTAGAATTTTTCTTCTTCTGATTTTCTAAAGTCTTCCGCTTTTTTTTATTACAAGTTGATTCATTTTCTACGTTTTCTAATTTATGTTTTCTAGAAGATTTATCGATTTTATTGACTTTACTAGTTTTACTTCTTTCTTGAAAATCAAGTTGACTGTCATGAGTAATTTTGTTTTTTTGTTTGCTACAGTAAGCTTCATTTTTTCGTTTCTTTTTTGAATTCTCTTCAATTCTATCATCTTCTTCTAACACTGATGCATTTCTTTTATTTTGTCCTTTTTCGAAATTTTTGATGTTATCTGTTCTTTGTTTTTTACAAATATTTTCTTTGTTATTATCATCATCTTCAAGTTTTCTGGACTTTTTTGTTTTAGATTTTTTAGTGATTACTATTGATTTATTACCTTCATCTTCAATCAGTATCCTTTGACTTGTTCTGGAAACACTAGAAATATTTTTTTCAACAGTATCATTTTGTTTTAACAGAGATGTTAATGTCATGAGAGAAATTTCATTATACATAGGTTTTGTATAATTTTTCCTGGTATTAAGGTTTAGCTTATTCAAATATGTCAAGTCATCTTTTTCAATAGACCACAACTTTATTTCTCCCAAACTTGAGACAGAAGCCAATAAGTTGTTGAGTTTAGCCATGCATCTAACTTTGTTGTCATAAGCTCTAATTTCATTGATCACAGAACCAGTTTCTAAATTGAGGATACTTATCTTGCCATTTTCTAAACCAATAGCAACAAATTTCTCATCTAAAAACTTGATGCATTCTACTTCATAATCAAGTACAAAATTTGCTTTCATGCCAGTTGAGAGAGTGTACACGTCAATTTTGTTATTAGTTACTATCAAATAAGTATGTTCACTAGGACTCCAGGTACAAAAATTTATATCCAAAGTGTCCATTTCCCATGGCGATAAAGTAGTAGCATAAGCTTGTCTGCCTTTGACGAAGTTCCAAGTTCGTAAAATTCCATCACAACTTATTTGCCTGCTAATTTTATCTAATATATCTTTGCTGGCTGATGTTAGCTGTCTTACATCGAGGGAGAAATCCATACTGTTTATGGTGTCTAAAAAATTGTCGAAATTTTTCAAATTATAATATATGATGATATAAAATATTATGCATCAAATTTATCTTAAATAAATTGTAAAACAATTATTTACCATTATGATTAACTAGTTTTCCACTTTCAATGGTTGAGAGAGTGTCATACAACCAAATGGAGTCATCAACAGTTGAAGAAGCTGCATAGTGTTTCATGGCAGGTACACGTCCAAAGTTAGCTAGATGTGAATGAGATGCTAAAAAATGCTCCATTTTATATTTCTAAACAAAAAGAGACACAAAAAATAAGTCAGTTTACTTTAATACAAAAAGATGGATATTTCTAGAAGTTCTAGAATCATCTAGAATGTCACGAATCTTAAAAAAAAATTATCACGGTAGAGATAAAAAATTGAAACTAAATATCTGTAGAATCTGTGTGAAAATTTCGAGTTACTCAAAATATTTATCAGTAAAATGGGCAATGTTTATAATAGGAGGATGTTAACCTGGAGCTAGCCGGTAAGCCGATATGAAGACCTACGATGTAATTTCGTATACTTACATTAATAACATCGTCGACTGCATAGCCAACGACAACATCTGAATTGGGTAACATTTTCACTTACAAATGCACTGCAAATTTAATTATTTATAAAAACCTTACACGTGTTTTAATGAAATGTCAACAACGTAAACATTACGTTATGTTGAGATGCTTATTGTAATCTGAAGCGTTGAGCGTCGTATTTATATTGTGCCTGCGATACGATGAAAGATCTGTTATTGGCTGATGGCTCGAAGTAGGAATTCGCGTTCTCGACTTTTCGCGCGCGAACACAGCAGCTTTCAAATTTTTGCTCATGGCTGGAGTTAGCGACGAAATGTCTAATAAAAAATCAATTGTCATGCGAATTGGATCAAAAGTTTATAAGGAAACAGAGGTAAATAAAAATTGTCGTATTATTTTCTACTGTTGAATTAATTTTTAATTTAAAATATATAAACTGTACATGTATTTATAAGACATATAATGATTTCGTTAATTTTTGCGCGATGTTCTCTATCTTTGTTGTTCGTACAATGAGCATTTTTAGCACACTTTTGTCGTGACTAATATGAAGTAATCAAATGCTGAGATAGTTTTTTTTTGAATTCCTTTTTTTAGCAAGCCGGACGATACAAAAATTTTACCAAATCATAGAAGAATGATTTTGCTTTTTCTAATTAATCGTCACAATAGGCTTAATTTTGCTTACTTACTCTTACACAAGAAATGAATTACAATATAATTAAATCGTAGCCCCTAAATTTTCTAGTTCATACTATGCTGAGCAACAAGACTCGATACCATAACTCACGTTTTACGCTCATTTCTTTCAACTTCTCTCCTTAATTTTTTGTTTCATCTTTGAAAATGATTTATTTATTTTTTTTTTAATTAGCTTACTATGTTTTTTTCTACACAAATCAAGATTTATTCCTAAAAATACGTATTTTGCACTGTTCCACTTTGATTATATTTATCGCAAATACATTTTCCATTCTCTTTCCATACTCGCCTTCCTAAAATAAAGTTAAAAAAAAGCTTGTTGATTTTTAAAGCGCATCTTTTTACAATAATATAAAATAAATTTCGACAAATCTCAAATGCTAATCGTGAAAAGACGTAGGTATACACCGGGTTTATAGTTCTCTCTCGAAAGAAAACTCACTTTAATTAAAAACTAAAATTATTAACAGTACAAAGGCTCATTAATCGATCTCATAAAAATTAAAACAACAATCGATAAAAACGATTGAAATAATTGATATACAATATAATATACTCAATAATATATATAAATATTTAATCTATAAAACGCTAACAAAAACGTGGAAGTTTAAAATGTTTATCTGTTTTCTTTATTAAAACTAGTTTGTCCTCGCAATTCCATTGTTTGCTCACCAACATCGCTCGGAGTCAAATGTAAGGATTTACGTAAAAATCCTCAGGCAGCTGAAGTTTTTTGTTTTTTCTTGTTTATTATATATTTATATATTATATTCATTAATATTTAAAATACGAATCTCACGGGTAGCTCGTCCCACTGTACAGTGTAGTGTTTTTTCCTCCTTTATCAATGCAATATAATAATATATAACTCTTAAAATTTAAAGATAAAACTAAGTTTAGCTGTTTTTAGGTCTTTTTAGCAATTTCTAAACGGAAGATACAACGTGTATGCTTGGAAGCAACAATGAATGAATGATGACAATGAAAAATGAAAAACAAAAATTAATGACGATGAATGATCACTAATCCGATGGAAAGTATCCACAAGTATTACATAGTGCGTTCTATGCTTTCAGTCTCGCTGGTTGCCCTTTCGCGCTTTCAACATTCGTACCGAGTGTTGTTTTTTTTTCTACTTGCGCTACTTTAAATGCTCGCGTACTCGACGCGGTTTTTAACTTTTTTCATTTTCGCGTAATACTGCGATCGCTCAGTCGCACTATTTTTTTTTTTTTTTATTATCACTCTGCGGCATGAATACGACAGCCGAAGAGTCCAGCCTCTTTGTTAAATTTTTTATTTTCGTGTGTTCTCTTTGGAATCACGTTTCGTGAACCTTTTACTAGATCGCGGGCCGGCAATCGATCTAGTAAAGGGGCAAATTTCAGCTGCCCTGGTAGGTCATCTGCTCGGGCAGCGGCGACGTGTGATTGTTCTGCGTCGGGCTCGGATGGTGAAAGTGCTGCGACGATCCGTCCTGGGACATCTCGTTCTGCGACATGACCGGTTCCTCGTACTTGCCGCGCTTGAAGCGCCCGTAGAGCGATGAGTAGGGTAGATTGTAGTGTATCGCCGCTTGATTGATGCTCATGTGCCCCAATCTGCGAACAACAAAAACAACATTATTCGCGCATCAAATCGCACCCAGCGAGAACAAAGAATCCGAACGAGAGTGCGGCAAGCCTTACCTCACAGCCTCCAAGGCGTCGGTCATAGCGTCCTCGCTCCAGGGCGTAGGATTGCTCCTGCTCAACTCAATACCCTCCCTCTTGCAACGCCCGTAAAGCGTACCCGTAGGTATGCCAAACTCGGTGGAAGCTCGTTGCACGGAGGTCTGACCGGATCGGATTGCCTCGAGTGCTCTGTCCAAATCAGCCGGGGACCAAGCCGTGGGACTCGCGTTAAAGGGCGCGGCCAATCTTATGCCTTCTCGCCTGGCTATTTTGTACAGAGTACTCGAAGGTATGCCGAAGGCTTTAGAAGCTTTATTGGCCGATATCGTGCCCGTGCGCAGAGCCTCCAGGGCGTTGTTGAGGCTCTCGTCGCTCCACGACTTGGTCGGTCCGTCTTTTTTTGGCGTGTCGATGCCGAGCCTGTGGGCCCGCTGCCACAGCGTCGTCGATGGAATCCCAAAGGTGGCTGATAAAGAGGCGTGCGCAATGAAACGTTAATTAATGAACAGGTGGCCACGAGTGGCCAAATATTATTTGCAAAATAATTGCTCTCTTACCAGAAGCTTTGGTGAGGCTCATGTCATGATTTCGGAGAGCCTCGAGCGCGGCGTCCATGTCCTCCTGCGTCCAGGACTTGGATCCGTGATGATGCGAGCCGGACTGCGAGTGATTTCGCGAATTGTTCTCGCCGCCGGGCGAGTCCGAGTGTATCGAGCTGCCGGAGGGCATCAGGCCCAGCAGTTCCGGCGTGATCATCATCATGTTGTCGTCGGCCTTGGAGCTGACGCTCGCCCGGTCGGACATGTGGCTGTCGATGTCGATCGTGTCCGACGAGTCCATCGTCTGCAGGGTCTCGAACTTGACCTTCACGTCGTTGTCGCAGTTCTGGATATCTGCGAACGACGGTTCAGTTTTCACAGTCATTTCAACCGGTTCAGTCTTCACATGCATTTTCGACAGTTCGGTATTCCCAAAAATTTCCGATTGCTCCTCCATTGTGGCGAGCGTTAAATCAGTTCACTCTCACTGCTAATGCGAAGGACTTCGAGTCCTTTATAAGCATAAATAATCAAGTCTCGCCCCGACTATCTTATCTCGTTCGCTTCTCCCGCTCGCGGAAAAGAATCGAAAACAATTGACTTAATCGTTCTTAACGAGTTACGATTGGATTTGCTATTTGGCTCCGAGAGCGCAGCGTCCGGCCGCTCTTTGTGCGTGTTTTATTGTAGGAGCAGAAGACAGAACGCGCATAGATATAGTACGGCTAACGGCCCTGCCGGTGGCGGCGACTGCAGCCGAACGAGAGCGCCGCGCGGTGTGTTCGCGCGAAACTACGCATACGAGAAACTACGTGCATATGACATTTGCTAACTTGAAAGAGCGAAATTTGAACAAGAAAATACTCAAAAAAAAACAAAGTAAAAAATAGGCCATGTGTGCGCACCTGTCGTGTGGTTGTCGGGATCCCGCAGGTGCGTCGTGGTCGTGCCGACGAGGGTCGCGCTCGGTGGCGTGGGCTGAGTCTCGGGCGGCAGGTCGACCTCGCCCGGATCCGTGTGGTGGCCATAGTGGCCGAGGCCCGTGTGACAAAACATGTCACCTATAAAAAAGAAGGAGAAAAAAAAGTTGCACGCAGCGAGCCCAAAAAAAGAAATTATAAAAATCTGCTATCTCTCTTTCACTCTCTCTCTCTCTCACTCGCTCGTCGCTTTTTTCAATAAATTTCAATCGATACTCGAAATAAACATGATCGCGAGCAGCTCCTTACCGTTGTTGCTCGTTTTGGTGGCTGCGTTATTGTTGGCGCTGCTGGGACTGGCACCGCTGCTGCTGCCGCCGCTGCTGCTGCTGTTGCTGCTGTTCCTTCGGTTGCTGTCGTCTGGGTGATCGGCGGCGCCGGCTGCGGCCCCGTTGGTCGTCGTTAATTTTTTCTCGTTGTTGTTGTTGTTGTTGTTGTTGCTCTTGTTGATGTTGTTGTTGTTGTTGATGATGGACGGGCTGGAGTCGAGCACGACTAGTGGTGTACTCGCTGCGGCGGGCACGTTGGCTCGGCCGGTCGTGTCCATGCACTCGTCATCCTCGTCGTTGCCTGACCAGCAGTCCTGTCGATTCTGTTTCCGCGAAAAAAAGTAAATAGGTATACACGTCCAGAAAATGACAACTCTAGAATAAGTTCGAATAAATATCGTGAGTATCTATTGGCAGTTTGTAGCCTCCGCGAAATGTATTATAGAAAGTTTATGTTTACACGCACATTTGGCATGTAGAGTAAGCTACAAACTGCGAGCAGACGCGAATCTCACCTCTTTGGCGCAAAGTCGCGCGTAGACCTCTTCGTCGTCTTCGTCGTCGTCCTCCTCCTGCTTGTACTTGGCCTTGGTGTCCAACTGGCTGTGATGATAATAATTGTAGGCGATGTGTCTGGGGTGGCGAGCCGCGGCGCGACTCGTCGCCTCGTGGGCCGGCTGGGGCTGCAGAAAGGAAGACGAGGCTGCGGCCTGCGATGCGGCGGAGGACTTGCGCGTCGACGATCGCTTGTAGGACGGCGAGGTGCGCTGATGCTTGCCGAACTTGGTCCAGTTCAGGCGCGGCGTGGACAGGCTACCACCACCGGCGGCGGACCCTTCGCGCCTGCCTCCCGACGAGCGATGACGATACGGCGACGAGGCCCGATGATGGTGATGATGGGGACGATGATGGGGAAGATAGTCGGCCGGTGGCGTGCTGAGACTGACCGCCGACGGGCCGATTACGTCGCCGCCTCCGGTCTCCGCCGACACCTCGCACAGGCCCTTGATTTTCAATTGATCCGCCGTTCTCAGCAGCGACTGCAATGCACAGAAAAACGTGAAATTATATTTATGCGTGTGAGCCAGCTGATCGAGAGATTCATATAGAAGGCGAAGAAAATGAGAAAGGGGGAGAGAAAAAAAAAGGCGGTAGGGAAGCTTTCATTCGATTACGTAGCCGATCGCTCAGACACCGCGTCAGACAGACAGAAATTCACTTATTTTACGCTCTCTCTCTCTCTCTCTCTCGTCTCGAGATTTTTCTCTTTTCTTCTTCTCGTTCGCCGGTTCGTGACGCATGACGGTGAGAGGGCGAGAAGAAGAAAAGCTCCGCTATACGGGATATAATTGAAAAATCCTCTTATTTATCATTTAAAGAGAGACGAATGAAAAGAAATATATAAATAATGTTTAATAATAATCATCATCATGGCGACGAAGCCAGAGAACCGATCACGAGGCTCTCTCTCTTTCTCTTTATATATCTTGATTCTTTAATCAAGCTCAGGCCAGAGGAGCAGCAGCGCATGTTATATATATATGACACGGAGGTCTCGAGCGGGGAATATAGGAGAGCGATTAGGAGAGAGCATCCCCTTCTTTTTCGGCCTATCGGGCTGTCCTGCTCTCCACCACCATCCGGCTGCAGGCGCGAACCACCACCTACACAGCACCGCTGGTATATAGCCCTATTGCACCCTCCCTCGCGGCTGCTCGCTCGTGTCTCTTTTTCGCTCCTTCTCCACCTTATATATATGTGTGTGTTCTGTATAGTTTGCATATAGTCTGCTGCATTCGCATTGCTTTTATGCTCTGATTTTCGTTAACTCCCCGTGCCGCATTTGGTACTGCTACGTACGTACGGCACAATAGTCCGCGCGCGCGCTGCGTAAGCATCCCTTCGGCGCTGCCATTCTCCTCCCCGCGCATCGTTCGATGCTTCCTATCAATTTTTATTCCTCCACTCTCTCTCTCTTTCTCTCTGTCCTATTCTTTCTCTCTGCTTCGTATATATGTGCGTGCACGCGTATGAACAAATTACGATGTATTAAAAAAAGAAGAAAAAGACAACGACGACGTCGAACGACTACGACGAAATAAAAGAGTCAAATCAGCTTAGTGATCGCGCGCAGACTTTATAGAGGGGCTGCCGCTACGTCGCCGTCGCTGCTGCGCGCAAGTATATCGCGTCCAGGGCTAAAGCACGCCCGCGGCTCTGCCAGCCGAATCTACCTATACATACGCAACACATATATAGAGTTAGCCTGCGGAAGAATGGAGAGTCGACGTCGACGTAGCTGCTGCTGCGACGAGCTCTCGCGCGCGTAGGCCTCGCCCTCTGTGTTAAAAGCTCTATGCTCGACGTCGCGCACGCCAGACCAACGTGTTTACGTGTGTGCGTGGGTGGCTGCTCTATGTGTATATGTATGTGTGAGTGAGCTGTGCGGCTGCAACGATGGCACAGACACAAACTCCGCTACATATCGACCCTCTCTTGCTTTCCGCGTGCGAAGCACTCCCCCTGCACCCCTTCGCCCACTCTGCTTCGCTGCCGACGCCGCCGACGCCGGTGTATATTATAATGCTCTCCCGTATGCGCGCCACGTGCGTTTCTTGGGTGTGCCGTCGCTGCTGCTGCTGCTGCTGCTGCTGCTGCTGCTCGTTCGAGCTTCCGAGCTTCTTCCCTCCTTCATTTTCTTCCGTTCACTTTTTTTTACGAATTTTTTTCGAAACTTAATTGGCGTTTCGATCGAACGTTCGATACGAGAAAAAATGTACATCACTATAGGCGAGGGAATATAGGAAATAATTCGGAAAACGTGATCATTAGGAAATTTTTAATGATCATCGACGATGAGATTGGGATTTACAAATATGCAAGAGATCCTATACCGTCCGAACTTTGCTTTTCTCATTCCCATACATACACGATTTACTAGTCGAAGGGGGTGCAAAAGGTCTCTTCGCTGCTACTGCTGCGAATATATATAGAGAGAGGGCGTGAGTAAGTGAGACCGGGGATTTTCGATTCAGCCTCTCTCACTCGCTCTTTCTCTCTCTCTTTCTCTCTCTTCGCGTAATACTTGATAATCCCTGATTTCGCTGACTCGGCATAGCGGCAATTTTACACCGAATAACCATCCCTTTCTCTCCGTACCTCGAGAGAGCGAGCGATCCCACCCCCTCGTGTGCAACCGATAATAATTACACCCCTCCTTTTCTCTTATGCGCGCCGTGTATGTACGCTAGTAGCTTGGGAAAATTAAAAAATCTTCTCTACCGTTGCCTCCTTTTTTTTGTTTTATTATTATTATTTCGTCCCCGCGTACAGCGCGTCGCGCACACCCCGTGCATTTGTACAAAATCGATGCGCGCCCCCGGTTCAATTTGACTGCGCTTAATTTTTTCTTTTCGTTCTTATATACTCAACGCGACGACAAAAAATACAATCGAGAGATTTTAATTCGATTTGTTTCGCAAAACAACGCGACACGCTCGCGACGAATAAAACATTCGATGATTCTAGAGGAAATTTCCTACATATTAACGTGGGCGTGGATGCAATGGGAAAACGCAGAGGAGGAGTAGCGATGTATAGGAAGAGGAGGGCGGACTGCTGCTTGATTGCCAAAAAAAAAAAAGAAAAAACAGAAAAAAAGGCATCTTGATAAAAATTCAAAGCTATCGCGCTCGGTACACGTACGACATGGCGTCTGGACTGGCGTGTTATATACGCAGGGGATGCGAGTGCAGCAGTAGCAGCACTAGCACAGCAGTTGCGTCGGCGGCGGCGGCAACGACCACGGGGTAGATTTTATACTCACACATACACGCGCAGCCTCTCTTCCAATCAATACTCCATGGGTTATAAGAGAGAGAGAGAGATCCTAGAGAGAAGGAGAGGGATTCAAGGGCATCGCCCGACCAATTATCCCGAACTAATTGACGCCCTAACGTTGCCCTCCCTCGCGCCCATAGCTAGACTGCTGCTTTATATCCTGTGTGCTATACCTATATGTAGCACATGATGTGCTCGGTAGGCAGAGCTCGACGATGTACCGTCGTTAGTTTCAACTTTGGCGTACGTCTCTTTCTCTTCGTGTACATCTGATTTTTCCCTGTAATGTATTATTTACCGTTTGTGCCGAGTCGATCAATCGCTTTTGCATCTGTACAATGATGATATCTTTTCTTTGTACTTTCTCGAGCCAAATTGATTCAAAAAATATGATAATGCGTAATAGGTTGCGCGAGCGCGCACACGTGCTTGAGCAAAAGCCCACGTGTTCCGTAGCATGATTGAGACAGACACGAGAGAGAGAGAGAGAGAGAGAGAAAGAGAAAGAGAGACAGAAGGAAGAGAGAGAGAGAGAGAGAGAGAGAGCTATATAGCAAACGCGAAAAGGAGGTTAACGTCTCAAGCGACTGGATGGATAGCCTGTGTAATATACCCGAATAAAGAAAGAAGAAAATCCGCGAATTTTTTACACCTTTATGTAGCTATACAAAATATAGCGAGACAAAAGAATTCATTTTTTAATGCGTCGTTAAATGCACGGCAGTATTACGTGTCATAATTACGAAACGATGACACACATGTGCCGATAACCGATCGCGCCTCGTCTCTAGGTCAGAGTCAACGAAAATCCTATCCGTCATTCTTCTTCCCTATCTTTCTTTCTCTCTCTCTCTCCCTCTCTCTCTCTATGTTCGCAAAAATCTGCTTTCACTCTTTTTCGTTGTTTATATATAAATTCCTCTCTTTCATGCGTACACACAGTGCGTTTTTGCCCCTCGCGCTGCAATGCACAACCTTTTTTACTTGCACTTTCGCTTTTCTGTGTGCGTAGCAGCAGCCCATATAGCTACGCACAATGCAGGAAAATCATCGAGCCCCGCGCGCGCGTGCACCGCCCTCCAGTTAGCTATAGAATTTGCGAACGAGAGAGAGAGAGGGAGAGGGAAAAAAAGAAAAAGTCATGCGTTTCGCACCAGTTATATACATACCGATATACCCAATGACACATAGGAGCGAATAGTTGTTCGACTCGTCTATGTACATATTTTTTAGTTAAAAGGGGGATAGAAGAAGAAGAAGAAGAGAGAGTAGAATAAAAAATAGGAGCAGTTGAGAGATTTTCTCGGCAATTCGCTATTACATATGCTGCGAGTTCTATACGTAACACATATACCTAGAGCACGAGCGCATAATATACGGGGTATCACGCGAACTCTTTTTTTGCTCCCTATATCTCTTTCTCTCTCTCTCCTTGTGGCTCCTTACCTAGTACCTATCTGTGCAGTATATATAAGTATATATATAGTGCACGAAGCGCAACCCCATTCGAGAACCAGATTTTCCTCTTTCTCTCTCTCTTCCTTCTCTTCCGCGTTTCTTGCCGTTTTTTCTTGTTGTTGCCTCGTTCGCTCTCCGACATTCTACTTTCCCCGTCGTTTGTCTCTCTCCTATATATACCACTACTACTATATACGCTATACTATAAGCACTCGCATTCATGTAAAAGGGCGTAAGTTCCATTCATTCCTTATGATCTGTGTGTGTATATATACGCGCACGTGTGTGTGTGTGTGTGTGTGTGTGTGTGTGTATTTGTAGCAGCCACGTGCGATGCGATCGAGACGCTCGCAGCTCCACGTGTTCTTCGCTCTCGGTTCGAGCGATGTGGAATAGTACATTAAAGTAAAATTTTGTGCTCGCTGCGAAAATAGAGCACAACTCCTCTCTATACATAACATCGTGAGCGTCGTTTACCATCATCAAGACGACGACGACGACGACGACGACGAGGTTCACTACGGGGCAGCGCGCGACGCGTCGCATGCGTGTGTGTTTCGAACATTAACGACTATTTTTAAGCAACGATTCTATACAGTATACGACGACGAACTGCCTCTTTCGACTCTGCCCTCCGCATAAAGTATTACACATGCCGTTTAATGCTATTTCTCCGAGTCGCCGGGCCACTCGACTTCGGTGCTGCTGCTACTGCTGCTCGCCCCTAAAAAAAAGAGAGGAA